AAAAGCCAAAGGTGAAGGTATGGCTCAAGTGGTAGAGTGCAAGCTTTGAGCAAAAAGTCAAGTGAGAGCCTGAGCCCCTGAAGTCAATCCCCATTACCAGCACCAAAAAACAAAAAACAAAACAAACAAAAAAAGAAAGAAAGAAACAAGGATAGGAATGTGGCTTAGTGGCCTAGCATGCATGAAACCCTGGGTTCAAATTCCTCAGTACCACATATACAGAAAAAGCCAGAAATGGCACTGTTGCTCAAGCGGTACAGTGCTAGCCTTGAACAAAAGAAGCTCAAGGACAGAGCTCAGGTCCTGAGTTCAAGCCCCAAGATTGGAAAACAACAACTACAAACAAGCAAAAAGGAGACCTGTTTATCTGAGACTCCACTAGATAGATTTTTACCAATCCAGGACCAGCTCTAGGCCTACTATTCATTCCACAAAGCTCTGAGGCCTTTCTTTTATAACCTACATATACTTTAATATCAGATTTACTCCATGTATTGCCCATGGCTGAGTTAGGATTCTATATTTGATGTCACTGGCCCCTTTATTTACTTTTTTTCATGAAAATCATTATTATACATTTCCTCTTCCACCTTTTTTCTTCTCTATAGTCATCAGTTTGGGCTTTATGTGGATGCTTCTTACCTTTGTCTTCAGGTCATTTGTCAGGTCAGTTTGTCTCTGAGCAAAAACTTTAACTTTTAAGAGTTGTCACTAGTCAGAGTTTAGATTTTAAGCCATCTAGAAGGCAAAATGTTATTCATCAGAGATATGTTACTATTGTTCATTTCCTACCTTCTCCTTTTCAAAAGCTACGATGTGTGCTTGTCATGTTCCTGATTTTTTTTCTAACAGTGCTATTCATCCCAAGTGAATCCTCACAAGTAAGATCAAGTTTACAAGGCATGACACAGCTTTGAAAGCTTATCTTGCTTTATAGATCCTTGTTCCTGAAAAAATTGCATTTACTGATTAGATGTACACATTTCAGCTAAAGTTATCACTACCTCCACCACATTTCTTATCTCCCAGTAACTTCACAAGTTACTTACTGATTTGTTTCCTTTCTAGACAACGTGGTCCACTGTTTCTGGAAAATGGAGAGTAACTCAATAGGGTTTCAGTGGTGGCAGAACTGATAACATGTCCCTGGCATACTTCCTTGTAGTCATTCCTCAGATTTTTCTATCTCTTGATATTATATTGTCCATTGGAATCCAATCCTTGGACTCTCCTTTAATAACTCTTTATTTATTGTGAAAATACTGTACAGAGGGCTTACAATTACATGGGCAAGATAATGAGTACATTTCTTATCAAGCATTGTAGCTTCCTCCTTTGTTTTCCCTTCCCATCCTTTCCCAGCCTCCCCCCATGGCCCCCCCAATCCTCCCCGCTCCCCCGCCCCCTCCTTTAATAACTCTTTAGTAAAATGACTTAATAAATTTACTGATCTTCCAGACTCTAAGAGTTTATTTAGCTACCTCATTCTTTCCTAATCTATTATGTTCATTTCTTGGGAGGCTTGGTGATTTATCTTTAGCATAGGTCCTTATTATCCTTTCATAGATATCATTTTATAATTCTTTAAAATAACAAAGGAGCAGTTGAGGAATATTGAAGAAGCCTACAGCCTTTATCTTTTCTACTCTAACCTCTGCTATAAGGACAGATTAGCCTCTTGGTTCAAACTTTGAGGCAGCTGCTTTGCCAGCCATCTCTCCAAACTCATGCTTCACATAAACTTTTGTAATTGACAGCCACTTTATGCTTTCAGTCATTCAAAACAAAATTCTTGCATGTGTACTTGATTCTTATGTTTATATATCCTCATATCCATTTATTTACTTGTATGTGTACACATGTGCATGCGTTCTGGGGATGGTACCCAGGACCCTCTGCGTGTTAGACATGCACTTTGCCACCCAGCTACATCTCCAGCCTACAAATTCTTTGAAATTGTATTTTCTGCTTCCTTGGTTTGTTGAGAACTGTTCTTGGGGATGGTGGCTACACATCAAGTACATCAGCTCCATGGATGCAGTGTTCCTGTGAACCAGAACCATTGCTGGAGTCTTAAGTTCAACATGTGCTGCTGTCTAATTCCAGAGATAAAACAACAATAAACTCCACTTGTTTGTTGCCTCCTTATCCTACAACAGAATAGTTCAGATTTGGGCAGAGACAAGGAGTTTGTTTTCTAACTGACAGTGCACTTCTTCAGTGTGCATTTCATGACTCATACTGTACTTTGGACTTTCACTCAAGCTTTTGTGAGAATGAGATATAACCATGGAAAGTTACTATCAAAGATGACATTGTGTACTTGATATTCTTTTTGTTGTTGTTGAACTCTGGGACCTGGGCTCTGTCCCTGAGCTCTTCAGCTCAAGGCTAGTACTCTACCACTTGAGCAACAGCACCACTTCTGGTTTTCTGGTAGTTAATTGGAGATAAGACTGTCACAGACTTTCCTGCCCAGACTGGCTTTGAACTGCAATCCTCAGATCTCAGCCTCCTCAATAGCTAGCATTGCAGGCATGAGCCACCAGCACCCAGCTCCACTTGATATTCTTTTAAGAGAGGCCCATCACAATTGCTTCTAGGTACCTTAGTGTTCCTTGATGTCCTCTTCTCCTCCTCCTTCCTCTTCCTTGCCCCTCTCTCTCCCCTCTCTCCTATCTCCTCTCCTTCTCCTCTCCTTTTCCTTCTCCTTTTTTCCCTTCCCTTCCCTTCTTCCTTCCCTTCTTCCTTTCCTTCTTCCTTTCCCCTTTCTTTCCTTACCTTTGCTTTGCATCTTTTTCATTTCTTTTTGTGTCCTGGGGTTCTAACAAAGGACCTTGTGTATGCTAGGCAAGGACGTTGCCTCTTAGCTAAATCTCCAGCCCCCTTGATATTATTCCTAAGTCAACACATTGTATAGCAATTAGGTGGCAAAGGTGACAGGGACACAAGATTTTCCTATGTCCTATCTATTAAAAATTACCTAGCAGTATGGGGTGAAATAAACTAGGTCAAAGGTAGGCTTAATAACCTTATGGTCTATTGCTTAGCCACAGAAAAATTGACTGCTCCCTTTTCCTTATCATGTTTGCTTTTCTGTATTGGTTGATTTGCTTGCCTCTTTGCATTTCTATTGCTCCATATCCTCCATGTATTTCCCCTCACCTATGTTTGGTGTCCTTCCACTGCATTTTTCTATAACTTCATGGGCACCTATGCCCTGACTCTGATTGTCCAATGTGGAAGAGATAACTAGACTTTTATGTCCAAAATGAGAACATTTCCTAAATACTCTCTTTTTCTCTTCACATTGAGCATTGCCTTCTATAATGGCCACTCTGAACACGTTAGTATGCCCAATGGAAATACTGTTCCTCTTTTGAGAGGCATACCTTTCTCACTGGGCATCATAGGATGTTAGCATCCTTTGTTACTGTGCCCAGCGCTAGAAACACACTACTCGGCATTGTGATCACCAAAAATGCCCTCACATATTTCCAAATACCTCTCAACATAGTGGTGTAGCCTCTGTTTAGAATCATGATTAGCTGGATAGTTGGAAGTATTTTACCCAAATACTGCACTCAATTGCTTATTATTAACCATTGCATATAATTTGATACAACTTAATTGCCAAAGTTTATATGTCAAAATAAAAAGTAGCTACTAGGATATTCTTAGAATAGAAACACAAAGGGGCACTGCCTATCTGATCATATAAAATAATATTTATCGAAATGAACTCCAGGAAATGGAAATGAGGTTTTACTTCATTGCTGTTTTTGTTTTTGTCTTATTTATCATCTTTGCAAGTGTGAGGAGGACACAGAAATGGAGGGGAAAAGGGTGAACAAATGTAGCAGTAGTATTTACTAGACACTATGTGGAAAATGAACTATACAACTTGTGGGTGAGAATGGCAGGGAAAAACTAGGAGAGACCAAGGGAAGGAGTGACATTGTCCAAAAAGAAAGGTACATTTTACCTAACTTAGGTAACTGCAAACAAACCCTCTGTACATAACCTTTATAATAACAATAAAAAATAAAAACTACTAAAGCACTAAAGTTCTACCATCCACTTTTATTTATTTAAGATGTCAAACTTAGGTTTCAGACATGTATATATATATATATATATATATATACACACACACACACACACACACACACATATAGTTCATATGTATATATACACACATATAGTTTAAGAAAAATACTAGGTTTTCCTACAGTGAATTGGTAGATAAAACTAGTACGTACATGTGGCCTTTAACTTTCTTCAAGTTATACTTGTTTTTAATTTATAGGATTTTAAAATCTTTTAAAAAGTATCTTAACCTTTCTTTTTTGTTGTTGTTTTTGGGTCCGGTCGTGGGGCCTGAACTCTGGGCTTGGGCGCTGTCCCTCAGCTCTTCAGCTCAAGGCTAGCGCTCTAGCGCTTGAGCCATAGCACCACTTCCGGCTTTTTTTTTCCCTGCTTATGTGGTGCTGAGGAATCGAACCCAGGGCCTCAAGCATGCGAGGCAAGCGCTCTACCACTGAGCCATCTTCCCAGCCCTTAGAAAGTATTTTAAATACAGTACAAAGTATATGTCTACTTTAAAATTTCTTGTACTGGTAATTTTTTTTTTTTTTTGTCGGCTGTGGGGCTTGAACTGTAGACCTGGGCGCTGTCCCTCAGCTCTTCAGCTTAAGGCCAGTGTTATACCACTTGAGCCATAGTGCCATGTCCAACCTTTTCTGTTTATGTGGTGCTGAGGAATCGAACCCAGGGCCTTATGCATGCCAGGCAAGCACTCTACCACTGAGCACTTTTTTCTTTTTGCTTGTGTGGTGCTGAGGAATCAAACCCAGGGCCTCATGCATGCAAGGCAAGCACTCTACCACTGAGCCACCTTCCCAGCCCTGGAAATTCTTTAAATATGCACATTGAGAATTTTGTGTTATGGTTTTCTAATGTTATGCAAATAATAAAGATATAACTTCTTTATGTTTCAGAGAAGGAATTTTGAGGAAAACTGGGTTCCGACTCAGCAAAGCCAAACAGAAAAGAAACAGAAAACGAAACAAAAAATCTAACAGTCTTTGTGAAATCGCAGATGAAAACTCAGTTGAAACTTGTAGTTATCTTACAACAGAAGCTCAGTACCCATTTCAGAATGAAGAAGATATTAAAGAGAACAAAACAGTAGCAGGATGTCTTTGTATTAGTGGCCGACAAAATGCATGTAGAGAACTTCTGAATGGCTGTAAAGAAAAAAATCTTGAAGATAGTTTTGAAAGTGTTGTATCTACAGTTGAATTATATAACACGCCAAAGAACTTCTCCAAGGAAGATGATGAATTAATTCTAATTTCTTCATCAATGGCAAACAAAAACTCTGGTACTTGGCCCATAGGGACTCAAAATCTTCCTTGTGTAACAAAGGAAGACTGCTCCGGCATAAAGGTAGAAAAACAGAAGGACAATAGGTTTACCATGGCATTAAACATGAAGAACTCATTTGCTAGTACTCCATGTCCATTTCTCCAGAAGATAGAAGTAGACCAAAGACTACTAAGTGAACCAGTTGAGCACTATCAACATGGATCCAGAGCTTCAGAGAACATTTTAAGAGAGGAGCAAGGAGTACATGCAAGTAAAAATAATTATTGGACTTTTCTCACAAACAATTTGTCTGATGAGGAATTACAGCTAGGCTCTGATAGACAACCTTATTTTGATAGCTGGCCTGAGGGACCTCATAAATTTGTGTGTGAACAGAGACCAAAGAAAGATAGATCACATAAACTGGCCTGTCCTGACAGCAAGGAGCAATTGATTAAATTGATCTCCACTTCTGAAGGCATATCAGAACCAGGAAGCAGACGAGAAATATTGATAGATGTGAAGTTACTGGTAGAAGATGAAGATTTGTCACCTATCACAGAAACTGTAGCTCCATTCAGAGACACAGAAACAAATAACTTCAGAAGCTGTTTACCTCAACTAGATAACCCAAAGAGTGCCTCAGTGAATGAAAAAAGGTGGAGAAAGATTTTTAATTTGGTACCAAACTTTAGTTTACTGGGACAGAGTCTTACCAATACAAAAGAAAAGGAGAAACATAGCCTGTTAACAGAAAGCCATGCACTGAACAATATTTTAGGAGAAGAAAAAGACAAAAATTCAGAAGTAAATAACAAAGAGGAGAAGAAACAAAAACTCATGACATGTAACGATCAAAAAACATCATTGTTTCATTTTGATATTTTCAAAGACTCACCTCTAAATATTGGTGGACAATTTTATTTTCCTTACCTGTCATTTAATAGACTAGGACATGCTATGTATCTTTATAAAAATCCTCTTCCTTCTTTTGTGCTACATTATATATCTAGCTTTTGGATGATACCTTTTACCAGCAAAAAAACATTTTTGACTTTCAAATCTCAGACAAGAGTAGGAAATACACTAACGGATGTAGACTTTATTTTTTCAGAAATTTTATGTAGCCAACCTGATACTTTGTGCTCTTTGAGGATTACTTCTGATACTCAGGTTTTAAATGAAAGATCTGGTGAAAAACTAAAGAAATTGAAAGACTCTAAGTCACTACAGTGTTTACCAACTGAGAATCACCACAATTTAAGACTGGATTCTTTTTGGCTGCCCTTACCACAAAGGTTTGCTTTCCAATTGGTAAAGCTTTTTGGACCTCCTGGAATTCCACTGGGTAAATTGTTTTCATTTACTAAAATTTAACATAAAATTTTGAGGTGCTGCCAGGCAACCGTGGCTCATGCCTATAATCCTAGCTACTCAGGAAGCTGAGATCTGAGGATCATGATTCAAAGCCAGCCTGGACAGGAAAGTCCATGAGACTCTCATCTCCAATAAACCAGTCAGACAAAACTGGAAGTGGCTCTGTGTCTCAAGTGATAGAGCACTAGTCTTGAGCTGAAGAGCTGAGGGACAGTGCCTAGGTCCAGAGCAAGCCCGTGACTGACAAAAAAAAATTTTGAGGTGCTTTTTTAACCTGTTGTTAGTGATGAAATTGAAACCCCATAGTTAATGGTACTTGACTTTTAAGGCTCACACCCTTGCTACTATAATCTTAAATGTCCCTTGAATACATATGAAATATGAACTCTACACTGAAGTAGAGGCTGAGAAGAGTGAAGGAGGCAGGCAAATATTAACTATGTAACAGAGATGGGCTAATTTGTGTGTGTGTGTCCACACAAATCCTGGGGTTTCAACTCAGCACGGACACTGTCTCTGAGATTTTTGTGCTAAAGGCTAGCACACTACCAGTTGAGTCACAACTCCACTTTTGGCTTTTTGCTGATTAATTGGAGATAAGAGTCTCACAGACTTTCTGGTCCAGGCTGGATTTGCACCACAATCCTCAGATCTCACCCTCCTGAGTAGGTGGAATTACAGGTGAGAGTTTTTTTTGTTTTTGTTTTTTAATCTTTCTGCTTTCTACATTTTATTTAGCAGATCGCTTTTTCTTTTCTCATTTACAATTATGGCTTCCAGATATGAAATTAATAAATGAGGACTACAAAAAATTAGTGATGAGAAAACACCTGAAATAGTTGAGGGTTTTTTGCTTCATTTCATTTTGTTTTTTGTTGTTGTTAGGCCAAGAGAGGTCAGTGCTCAGGGCCTGAGCACTGTCTTTTACTTTTTTCTGCTCAAAGCCATTACTCTACCACTTAATCCACTCCTCTATTTCCAATTCTTTACTGGTTAATTGTAGGTAAGTTAATTTTAAAGTAATAATCTTAATTCCCCTCCAACAAAAGGAAAAAGAAAAAACATTCCCTCAACAATTACTTAAAATTAAAATGCATTTATTTTGGGAACTTGAACTAATTAAAAACAATATAAGTCAGAAATCTTCATCTATAGTTCATATACTGAAAGAATTTTTTGTGACCTTTTATGTCTTTTTGTAAGAGAAAGGACATACATTTTATCACCTTCTCAAAAAAGTCCATGACCCCAAGAGATTAAGAATCATCATCTTAGATCAGCACTGGGAAACAGAAAGACACTGGTTTAAAAAGACTTTAAACCTCCTCCTCCTTTGAATGTACAATATCAGCATAATCAACAATGATTGCACATCCATTAATTAAACTTCAGAAAGCATTTTAAAGGAAAGCTCTCTTTCTAAATGGAGAGAGAAGACTAACAAAATTACTGCACACAGAAAATGCAAGTGACAAATATGCATATTTTATGAGTGAGGTTAGCAGTGTGATATCAATTGTAGAAGAGAATATGGGGTTATGGTTTTGGTTGCCTTCAATAAGGAAGCAAATTTGTATAACACAAGCAGTGAAGGAATAGAGCTTGGAAGAAAATAAATAATTTCACCTTTGGAAATGACGTGTTTAAGAAGGGAAGGAAAGGGAAGAGAACTTCTTCTTCTTCTTCTTTTTTTTTGTCAGTCACGGGGTTTGAACTCTGGGCCTGAGCCCTGTCCCTGAGCTCTTCAGCTCAAGGCGAATGCTGTACCACTTGAGCCACAGTGCACTTCCAGTTTTCTGGTAGTTAATTGGAGATGAATCTCATGGAGTTTCCTGCCCAGAGTGGCTTTGAACAGCTATCCTCAGATCTCAGCTTCCTGAGTAGCTAGGATTACAGGTGTGAGCCATCAGCACCCAGATAGGAAGAGAGGTTTTAAGTGCAGTCTGAATCTTGTTTGGCTAGACTGGAGAAGCCAAGCTCTGTTGTATGGTCCATGGCTTTGAATAAGGCAAGGAAACAAAATGATTGCTAGCAATAGGAGCTCTGCAGACAGAGTAGGATTATATAGTGGGAGCATATACAGGTGTAGAGACTGTAAAGAAACCAAACTATGCATAGTGTCAGAACTGTGTAAGTATAGGAGAATTTTTGTGTACGTTATATTTTTTTGAGTATGTATGTATGCGTTGCCAATACTAGTACGAGAACATAGGGACCAGGCTCTGTCCCCTAAGCTTTTATACTCAAGGTTGGCACTTTACCATTTGTGCTACAGCACCACTTCCAGCTTTTTGGTTGTTAATTGGCAATAAGAGTCTCACAGACTTTCCTCCTAAGACTGGCTTAAAACCATGATCCTCAGATCTTACTACCCTGCACCTGGCATTATGAGAGTCTTAGTTGTAAGGAATCCTTTTGTCTGAAGTTGCAATTTGTAGGAAGACTAAATTTTCCATGGTTGTAATGTTTCATACATGTTACAAGAAAGGAAAGCTATCTAAATTTTATGCCATAGACAGTACCACTTGAAGCTATTATATGTGGGTATGTTGGTGTATATGTTTATACCTACATTAGAATCTGAACTACGATATATAGTACTTTTCATACATACATAATAAGGATTTCCATTGAATCTAGATACTATTTAGTCTAGATACTGTTTACTATTGGTATCTGAAAACTATTGTTTTAGCCATAACTGAAATATCTTTAAAACAGGACTTTTAACATTACAGCAACCCAGATACTATGTTTTTATAACTTCATATTTAGTATGAAATTATGTATGACACTGAAGATGAAACTTGTTCCCCCTTTTTCCACAGAATCCTTATTGCCTGATGACTATGTGATTCCCCTTGACTGGAAAACACTGAAAATGATCTACTTGCAGTGGAAGATAACAGTAGAGGTAGATTAATATATGCTTTAAAAGAAGGTCTTCTCTAACTTTTTTTTTCCTTTGTCAGTTCACCTTGAATTCTGGGCTTGGGTGCTGTCCCTCAGCTCTTCAGCTCAAGGTTAGTTCTCTACCACTTAAGCCACAGCACCACTTCCGATTTTATGGTGGTTTATTGGAGATGAGAGTCTTGTGGCCTTTCCTGCCTGGGCTGGCTTTGAACTGTAATCCTCGGATCTCAACCTCCTTAGTAGCTAGGATTACAGGCATGAGCCACTAGCACCCGACTTCTCTAACTTTTTGTGAGTGCATGTGTGTTTGTGTATGTGTTTGTGTGTGTGTGTATGTGTGTGTGTGTGTGTGCACCTGTCCCTGAGTGCCAGTACTGGGATGTGAACTTTTCTACTCGGGGCTAGAGCTCTACAATTTGAATCACAGCTCCACTTCTGATTTTTTTGCTGGTAAATTGAAGATAAGACTCTCAAAGACTTTCCTGCCTGAATTGGCTTCAAACTGGGATTCTTAGATCTCAGCCTTCTGAGTAGCTAGGATTACAGGCATGAGCAACTGGTGCCAGCTCTAACAAGTTTCTTTAAAAAATAAAATTGGTACAAGTGGTTTATTTCTTAAATTGGAAAACAGCAGGAATAAGGGAGGTATTAAAAAAATCCTATAGAAAGCCATGTGCTGGTAGCTCATGCCTGTAATCCTAGCTACTAAGGAGGCTGAGATGTGAGGATCACTGTTCAAAGCCAGCCTAGGCAGGAAAGTCCGAGAGACTTTTATCTCCAATAAACCAACAGAAAACTGGAAGTGGTGCTGTGGCTCAAGTGGTAGAGTGCTTGCCTTGAGCTGAATTGCTGAGAGACAGTACCAGGCCCAGAGTTCAAGCCCTATGACGGATCAAATCAACTGTAGAAAGAATATATGTGCATGGGTAAGTTATATAGGTTTTCTTTCAAGTAGTTCCAAGAAAAAATTTCATTTGATCACCCAATTTTGTTGAAGTGCAAGCACTTCAGCACTGTGCCTGAGGTGTCTTAAATAATGTCCTGAGAGTATAGTCTTCACTACATCGGTTCTCCTGTCCAGCCCACAGTCTTATTCTGTTATGAAAAGAGTTGCGGCTGCAAATTAGATCCATCTTTACTTGACTTGAGAGTGTTTATTATTGGTGTGACCTGTTGGTCCACAGAGAGGCACATGCCTACTTTTTAAGGCTGTTCACCCTCCAGATGCCCAGAGGAAGACTGGCTGGGATAATTAGAAAGATGATAAATAGAAACTCTGAAAAAGCCAGTGAACACTCTGACATGATGGAGGTGGTTATGTTCTGTTCATGTTAGTGAACAGTGATTTAAATGAGCCCTGAGATGATGCTAAAAATCTATTTTGAAATAAATAGTAAAATGGAAGTTTAATGAAACTTAACAGGACTAATACTTAGGATAGTAGGTATAGCTGTGCAAAAGTAAATTTGTTTTGTGTGCCTATATAGTAAAAATCAAATATATATGTATATATTTATGTGTTAATGAACTTTAAATATGTTTGTTTATATATATACATATATATATATATACTTCACTAATATATGTATTAGTGAAGTTCTTATCCCTATTGCCTGTGGAGACCATATTACTACACACACGCTCTCTTTCTCTCACAAACACACACACATACACACACACACACACACACACACACACACACACACA